CCTTTTGCTGCTGCTGCTGCTGCTGCTTTGACGCAGCAACTCCACTAGCGTGAGCCGCACGGCTCTGCTGCAGCAGCGGCAATCACCATTCGATTCTGCTGCACCCCACACTGCGGCGCCTGCTGCAGCAGCAAGCCTTGCTGCAGTAGCAGTCCACTGCTGCTCTGCTGCTGCTCCTTCTGGTCTTGCTCCTGCTGCTCTTGCTGCTGCAGCGGATGCTCCTCTTGCTGCTGCTCCATATCGGCCTGCTGGTCTGCCTGCTGCTGCTCCTGCAGCCACAAAGGGCACCACCCCGCGTCAGCAGCAGCAGCAGCAGCAGCAGCAGGTTGGATGGGCGAAATGTCTCCCCCATGCAAAAGAAAAGTTGATTCGTTTGTTGATGGCCCTGCCCTTGCGAGAGTCAAGGGAGAAGACGAGGGTGGGGTTTCAGACAGCAGCAGCAGCAGCAGCAACAGCAGCGGCAGCAGCAGCAGCGGCAGCAGCTCTCGCGACGGCTGCAGCAGCAACAACGCCGCTGCTGGGGCGGATATTGTTGTCAGCGATGTCTCCCAACAGCACAAGCAGCAGCAGACAGAGCAGCAGCAACAGCAACAGCATCAGGAGCAACAACAGCATCATCAGCAACAGCAGCAGCAGCAACAGCAGCAGCAGCAACAGAAGCAAGAGCTGCAGCAGCAGCAGCAGCAGGACTGCATGGAAGCAACGACTGCTGCTGCTGCTGCTGCTGCTGCTGACGCGGGGTGGTGCCCTTTGTGGCTGCAGGAGCAGCAGCAGGCAGACCAGCAGGCCGATATGGAGCAGCAGCAAGAGGAGCATCCGCTGCAGCAGCAAGAGCAGCAGGAGCAAGACCAGAAGGAGCAGCAGCAGAGCAGCAGTGGACTGCTACTGCAGCAAGGCTTGCTGCTGCAGCAGGCGCCGCAGTGTGGGGTGCAGCAGAATCGAATGGTGATTGCCGCTGCTGCAGCAGAGCCGTGCGGCTCACGCTAGTGGAGTTGCTGCGTCAAAGCAGCAGCAGCAGCAGCAGCAAAAGGAGCCGCAGCAGCAGCAGCAGCAGCAAAAGGAGCCGCAGCAGCAGCAGCAGCAGAAGGAACCGCAGCAGCAGCAGCTACTTGCAGAGTTCGAGTCGGGTGTCTTTGTATCCCCTTCTGTGTGGACTTTGATTGGGTCTGAGGTGTCTGTACACCTCGGAAATGAGGTGTCTGTACGCCTGAGAAAAGAATTATATTTGAGCATTTATTGCTTTTTGTGTTTTGTGCACAAATGGAGTCTTTGCTGCGAAGGTGGAGATACACCTGAGCTGCAGATACACCTGAGCTGCGCGAACACCCGAGCTGCGCATACACCCGCGAGCGGCGCCTGCAGCTCAGGTGTACGTACACCTCAGGCTCGCTGCTTCATTTCTTTTTTCTTTTTTCTTTCTGTCTTTCTTTTATTTCTTTCTTTCCAATCCGGCCATCTTCCAGAGGTGGCTTTCAGAGCTGCCGCCGACAGCGACGCGCAGGCCTGCGGTGTACGTACACCTCAGCGCCGCATGCCACCGCATGCAAACGCATGCATGCACCCCTGCATGCAGCCGCGCCTCCATGCATGCATGCATGCATGCATGCACGCATGCATGGATGCATGCACGCATGCGTGCACGCATGCATGGCAGGCATGCACGCGTGCATGCATGCATGCATGCATGCATGCATGCGCTGCTCAGGTGTACGTACACCTCAGAGGAGTGCGCGCATGCAAGCAGATAGAAGGAAAACGCGCCTTTTGAGGTCCGTTTGCATGCGGACACTGGTGAGGTGTACATACACCGGGGCAGTGCATGCGGGCGGGCGCTGTGGCGCGCATGCATGCATTTTTGAGGTGTACATACACCCGAGAGAGCCGTAATGTAGTGCCAAAACGAGCTGTACGTACACCTGAGGGCACCCCAGGTTGGGGCCTCCGGTGCAGTCAGCACCGCAGCGCCCCTCGGGGGTGCTGCGCCCTCAGCAGCAACAGCAGCAGCAACAGCAGCAGCAGCAGCAGCAACAGCAGCAGGTGACTTGTGGGGCCCGCTGCTCCTGTTTGCTCGGCAGCTTGCGGCCTTCCTCGCCCCTGAGCTTCAGGGGCGCCACGGCAGCAAATCAACATACAACAACTTAGTGTTTCGCTCCTACAGCTAGCAGCAGCAGCAGCGGCAGCAGCAGCAGCGTTAGTCCTAGCAGCAGCAAGCCAGCAGCAGCAGCAGTGGGTGCCGCAGCTGCCTTGCGTGCTGCTGCTGCTTTGAGTTCCAGAGAGAGCAGCAAAGACGGTAGCAGCAGAAGAGACTTAGTGAGGGCTGTAGCTGTAGGCGCGCAAACAGCAGCAGCAGCAGCAGCAGGTGCTCCCACGGGTGCAGCAGCAGCAGCAGCGGGTGCTCCCACGGGTGCAGCAGCAGCAGCAGCAGCGAAATGAGAGCCGCCGGCGATTCAGGTTCGGGGGGGCGGCACAACGCTCTGCTGCTTAACTGTGTGGAGGCAGCAAAGAGTGTTTTTGCTGCAGCATCTGCTGCAGCTGTGGCTGGCGGTGGTGCTGCTCAAACAGTGTGCGCTGCTGCTGCTGCTGCAGTTCACCCGACGGTCGCCGCGGCTGCCAGCCATTTTGCTGCTGCTAATATGAATCCTGCTACAGTGCTATTGCTGCACCAGCTGCAGCAGCAGCAGCAGCAGCAGCAGCAAGACTAGCTTATGCTACACCGATGTTGAAAGGGCTGCACTGCAGCCCGAAAGTCTTAACGACTCGCAAAGAGTGCAAATTGTAATTGTTTTTATTCCAATAAAAAAGAAATTAAGTTCTGCTGCAGCTGCTGCTGCTGCTGCAGGTTCTGCTGCTGGCTGCTGTCTGCACTGAATCGACTCGGGCAGCAGGCGGGTGTGCTGCTGCTGCTGCACCTGAGCATGCGCTGTTTGCGGAAGCACACAAAACAATAAGTTTTAATTTATTGAAATTTAATTAATTAAATACTTTTGAAGATCAAATAAGAGGAGAAAGTGCAGAGAAAGTTGCGTTTGCTGCTGCTGCTGTTGTTCTGCTGCAGTGGTCAGCTGTCACAGGCAGCAGCAGCAAATGGCACGGTGACAGCTGGACTGCAGCAGCAGCAGCAGCAGCAGCAGCATCGGCAGCAGCAGCAGCTGCACTCACTGGAACAATTCCTAATCCATTTGCCCACAAACTTTTAATGCTTGTCTTTACGTTGTTTTCCTGTTCTTCCTGCAACAGCCACGGCAGCAACGACAGCAGCAGCAGCAGCAGCAGCAGCTGCAGCAGCATCGAGGTTTGAGGCTTCGCCGAGCCCACTTCAGCTCAATTTTCTTCAACTGCACAATTCGAAAAGATTATTTTCAGCGAAAGATATACAAAGGGTTTCTTGCTGGTGTCTCATTCCAGCTGCCTCCACACCGGCACCGCTCCGTGCTGCTGCTGCAGCT